GGGGGGGGGGGGGGGGGGGGGGGGGGGGGGGGGGTCATTTGGGGCCTCGGCTGACCAGCCCGCTCTCTTCTCCTTTGCAGCCGCGTGGTCTTGCCCTGCTCGGTGCAGGAGGTAAGTGGTGTTGCCCCCCCCCCTCAGCCCCCTCCTGGGGACGCAGTCGGGGCGCGGGGAAGGGCGGAGGGCCGAAGCACGGCTTCCCTCGGGAAGGGAGCTCCGGCCGGAGCCTGGCCTGGCGGTGCTGGGGGAGGGGAGGTCCCAATCCTGCTGCGGTCTCCTGTTAGTACCAGGTCGGACAGCTGTACTCCGTGGCCGAAGCCAGCAAGAACGAGACGGGAGGCGGAGAAGGCATCCAGGTCTTGACCAACGAGCCCTATGAGAAGGACGGGGAAAAGGGCCAGTACACGCACAAGATCTACCACCTGAAGAGGTAGGACACCCTCGCCAAGCCCTCGTGCCCGGAGATGCGCCCCGACTGCTTGCCTGCTTAGCATGGCAGCCCTGCAGATCCGTGGCTCTTTCTGTAGGGAACCGTGCGGGAGGCCACCGGATGCCGGGTTGACAGCCACCGCTGTATTTCTGGGGAGTGGCCGGGTTAGGGGTCAGCCTGGGACACGCTGAGAATGTGGCATATACTTTCAAAAAGGAGCAAGCGATGATTGGGGGGAAAGGCATCCGTGGTGCCTTTGCACTGAGCGATGAGATAAATGTGTTTTTGGAGAGACTGCTAACATGGGAGTGAAAACTGTTGATCTTAATGTTTGGCAAACGTAAACCTGTGACTCTTCTTCCTCATAGCAAAGTGCCTGGCTTTGTGCGGATGTTTGCTCCAGAAGGCTCCCTAGTATTTCACGAAAAAGCCTGGAATGCCTATCCTTACTGTAGAACAGGTCAGTGGCTCTTCCCTTTTTGTCAGGGCAAGCATGCTCCCCAGAGCGCGGAGGTAAATGCTCAGGTAGAGCCAGAGAGGACTCCGTTATCTAGAACCATCTGTAACTGCAAATTTAGTTGTTGCTCACTAGAGCGAAATGCTGATAAATAGAACTCTAAGACTTAGTACTGATTCATTCAAACTTATTTCTTGGTAGGCGTGTAAGGAAGGGATGATTTGTGAACTGAAGATCTTAATCACCCTAGCTGTTAGCTGCGAATGATGGGCACCATTGTCTGATATCTGGTGGTTAGGAGGGACCAGTGCGTATTTGTTGTGCTGAGATTAGAAGATTGTAAACATGATTTTACTAGCTGTTTCTTTGTGCGCTTTCAAATGGGGCTCTGTGGCCATCCTGTTTGCATTTAATCTGGATAATATAGAGTGAAGTTGTGTCCTGTTACAGTGCAGTCACTTCTCTTTGTCTCCTTCTCTTTCCATAACGTCCTGGTGATCAGTCGTGACGGTGAGTATTTTCTCTTCTTACGTTTGTCTTTGCAGCCTAGCAACAATTCACAGGCCCTTGAGTTTCAATGTTAAGGGTCCTCTCTTAAAGTGAAAGTATGCAGGCTGGCAGGGAGCTAGGTGGGGCTGGCCTGCAAAGGGAATGAGACACCCCCCCCCCTTCAGAGCAGCCCTTGAACTTTCCAGCACAGGAGTTTTGTAGAAGGATGTTGAACCAGTCTTCATTCTAGTCTTCTGCAAACCACACCCCCTGCTTGCATGTTGGACCTAGATGCTGGCAACATGGGTCACTTCCATCAGAGAAGATTGTGCTGGAATTTGCATATTCCAGTGCTTTTAGCAAACCTGTGGCCTCCACTGCTAAACATGTCCCTCACACTAATCCTCTCTTATCCTCCTTCCCACTGAACTTTCCAAGAAATCTTTGGGGGGGGGGTGTATCTCTGCGCAACAAACATCACCATTTTTTGCCCAGTTCTCCCACCCAGGGTCTATCTTTGTCTTGAGATGCACTTCCATTTGCTTTTGTTTCCATAGAATGAATACATGAAAGAGGATTTTTTTATCAAAATTGAGACTTGGCATAAGCCTGACTTGGGCACGTCGGACAATGTAAGTTGGCCTCAGAGAGTTTGTTTCTGGGTCTGCCCCTTGCTCAGCATAGCTTTGCGTGGCTCCCACTGCCACTCAGGGGGGATCGGCAGTTTCCTGCGTGGGGTTTGAAGATTAACGTTGCTTCAGTGCTGGGACTGAGTTTTTCTTCTGCCTCTAGACCGTGTTCGGTGTTTTAAAACATTGGTATGCTTTCTGATCAGAGCGATTTAAACAGTTTAAGAAAATTAAAGAGAAGAGTAGCGATGGATATGGGTAAAACAACTAGCACATAAAAGCACAATTAAATGTCCAAATTCGAAATACCTAAGCTGTAGAAGGTGGGTGTTTTTATTTTAAGTTTTATGCTCATTATTGTAGCTCACTTTAAGAATGGGGCCCGTCTGTTCCCCTTTGAAACAATCCCCTTAGTTTTCCTGGTAAATTGGCAGGGTTTAGCTTTCCTGGCTGCCTTGCCAAGGTCTGTGGGAAGACCTCCCTGATGCCGCTGCTGGGTGTGCCTTGCGAGCAGGTATTTGCCCCTGTGCAAAGGGAAGCAGCGGGGTTGGCCCAGTGACCAGTGGCGCTTTCTCTTCCTCAGGTCCATGACTTGGATCCCAATACATGGAAAAATGTGGAAGTTGTCCATATTGATATAGCAGACAGAAACCAAGTGGAGCCTGGAGTAAGTTGTATTCACGTCTCTCCTGCAGCTTGATGCTGCGGGTGTGTTTATGCTCCTGCACATAAACGCTACTTCAAAAGAGGAGAGAAGTGGCGATTCCATCTCTTGGCCTCCTCCCTGTCTCAGTCAGTCGGGAGTTGCTTGCCTCTCCTCCCTCTTGCAGAGGGATTTTATCTCTGTGGGTTCACATTCTGGTGCTCTTTGAAAAGGCACTTCCTGCCTCTGTAGGCCCTCAGGTTTCTTTCTGGGGGAGGACCAGATTCAGCCTGTTCTCAGATGTGGTAGCAGAAGCTTGGCTGAGAAGCAGGCGATAACCTTGTGAGTACAGGGAAGGATTGGCTCCCACCGGCAGGCCCTTGTGCCATGCAAGCCCTCGGCCTGAGGGGACCCTGGCCAAACAGCCCAGCCGTTCTTTTCGATTCTAAACACTGATCAATAAACAGCCTGGCTCCAAACTCTGCCTGCTCTTGGAAGCCATAATGAAACGCAGATGCCAGCGCTGCGTTTCCCCAAATGTATACAAACGCTCGAGCTGGCAGTTGCAGCTAGCCTATGGTAGAGGTTTAGGCCTGGTCCCTCCTAATCAGCTCCAGAGATTTTGTCTAAGCAATTTTGCGTGATTTGTTTACAAAAGTCACTTCCCAGGAGAGGAAGAATTGTTAAACTGTGAGCAGAATGAAACAGACAATTAACTTTGGAAAGAGATGCAGCTTGAGAAGAAATTTGAAAGAAAATAAGCAGAGTGAAAGCAAACAAATTGAAATCAGCTTTGTAGCTTTTTCTCTGCTTCAGATTGAAAGCAGTGTGTGTTGCCTCTGGCTTTCCCTTGCATCCACAAATCGCTGAGTGGGTCATAGAAGCCCTGTGGTCTCCCACCAGCTTTTGAGTAACTTGCATCCTCTTCCTGTCAGCTGCTTTAGACTGAATTGCAAATAAAGAACTCTTGTGAGCCCTTCCAGGGAACAAACGTTTTGGACCCAGTGGGACTTAACCTTTGAGCTGAATATGCATTACCCACCAAGAGGGCTGCAGAAAGGAGCTTGGGGCCCTGGGAGTGTGGCCTTCGGGGCAGGAAGTCTCTTTCCCCTCTTCCCAGTTTTTTGTGGGGCTCCGTATACCCAGCGCAGGCAGCTTCTCTTTTCCAAGCTTCTCCCGTTCTTTTCCCAGCCTTAACCTTGGAGTTTCTTTGAATCCACAGGACTACAAAGCTGATGAAGACCCTGCCTTGTTCCAGTCGGTCAAGACCAAAAGAGGCCCTTTGGGGACTGACTGGAAGGTAATACAAGCCAAGGAAGGAAACTTTGAGAGGGTGCCAGGGTCACATCAAAAAAGTGGAGGGATCTCAGGGGGGGGGGGGGGGCTTACACTGGGGCCAGCCTGCGCTCGGGAATTTTCCCCATGCCCTACAGGTACCCTTCAGGGTAGTGGAATCGCTTGGCAGTGAAATGGAGCTGTGGGCTAAGCTCTTCCTTGGTTATGGATTGCTGAGAGCCCAACAAGAGGGATTCAGATAGACATGGCCTTGGGTTCGAGAGATACTCTCTGGCTGTTAGATTTCCATCTGAGCTAGCAGCCCATTTGTGTTTCCCTAACTGGCTGGGGGGGAGAGGTGTGTGAGAAATGGTCCCCCATTCAGTAGCTTAATCAGATGACTGCCTTTTCTTCCTCCTGCTTATTGAGCGATGATGCACCGGAAGCCCCCTCTTTCTGGACTGCTGGTAAAGCTTGTCTTACGAGGCAGCTATTCATTTGTCCCCCTGGGAGCAGAAGGGACTGAAAAGACTTGGGAAGCGCAGGGAGGCTTCGGGGAGAAAGAAGAAGGGCCTCCCCAATCACAGCATCCTCGCTTCAAGGAGGGCAGCGTGGCCAAACTGCCCATCACAGGGCAATCTCCCCTGGTCTTGTACCAATTTCTCGCCCTTCTGGGCATTTGGGCCCACCCTGTGGCTGGCACCGGGTGCCTCTCTGCTTTCCCCTTTGGCTGGGACTTTCAGGCCCCTTGAGGAGAGGCAGCTGAGAGCGGAAGGCGCTTAAAGGCTCGCTTTTTATCGATTCCTCCCAACAGAAGGAGTTGGCAGCCGCTGAAGATTGTCCCAAGATGTGTGCTTACAAGCTGGTGACCATCAAGTTTAAGTGGTGGGGCTTGCAGAATAAAATTGAAAACTTCATTCAGAAGGTAGGCAGGTGGGAAGGACTGTCCCTTTCTGGGGACAAGGGGCCCGGTCGCCAGGCTTCCAAGTGGGGGGGGGGGGGGCGGAGAGGCTGCCGTCTCGGGCCAGGCCACCCCCGAGCTCGGCCTGGCTCCCTCCTTCCTTCCTTCCTTAGGAGGCAGCGGAGCCTCTGTGTAGGACTTGGGTCAAGAGCTGCCTTTTTCTATTTAAAGCAAGAAAAGAGGATATTCACCAACTTCCATCGGCAGCTTTTCTGCTGGATTGACCGATGGATTGACCTGACGATGGAAGACATCCGGCGAATGGAGGATGAAACCCAAAGAGAGCTGGAGGCGGTAGGAATATTCAAGCCTGTGAGGCCGGGTGCGGCCGGAAGCTTGTTGGGAGGGAGCAGGGGTCCATTGGTACGTCACGGGGCCCTGGAGTCCCAGGGGGGAAAGTGGGGCGCCATCCCCCCCTGGAGAATTACAGAGAAAGGACGACTTCCCCATTTTGGGGGTGGGGGAGGGGATCTTTAAAGTGAGAGACTTTAATGTTCTCCAGGACATTTCTTGGCTCTTGCTTCTCCTAAGAAGAATGCCTGCCGGAGCCGTTTTGGAGATGAATTTGTTTGTGTGTATGAATACTCTCCATGAAAACGTGTGCGGTCTTTTCCCTAGGATGCGGCCCTGTTTCCTGGTGATGCGTGCATGCATTTCCCTTGAATGTTTCTGAATACTAACTCCACCCGAAGTCCACCTTGAAAGGGAGAATCCAAACAGCCAGTCCTCCAAAGAGAGCGAGGGGTTCAGTCAGAGCCCCCTCCCTTCCTAAGCTCCCTCAAGCCATTCCTCGGGCCAAAAGGGCTTTCGAGCAGGAGGCTTTCCCTCCAGAGGGCCGTTGGCTTCTTCCCTCGGGCTGAGGGTGGTCGGCTGCCAGGAGAGGGAGTTCTCTGCGGCTGCCCTTCTCGCCAGGTGCAGCCTGGCTGGGTCCCTTTGCAGAGCAGCTCCAGGGATGGCAAGGTGTTCCCTGGCCTGAGTAGGTCCTCTCAAGGGCTCAAAAAAGTTGTTTTTTCCTTCTACTTATTTGTAGCCTGCCTTTATTGTTTTTAAAAACAACCCAAGGCAGTGAACACACCCAACACACCTTCCTCTCTTCCCCACAACAACCCTGTGAGGTGGGTTGGGCTAGAGAGACAGAGGGACTGGCCCAAAGCCGCCCTCCTGGCTGCTAATAATTGAGGGAGGAGAAACTGCAGGGAGCATGCATACTTGAGATTTCCTCATTTCTCCACGTAAATGCTTCACCCGGTCCTCTCCCTTCCTCCCTGCATTGGATGGGTGGTGGATGCATCCCTCATAAGGACCAGAGAGGAACTGAGCTGCCATTCTGCAGCCCCTTCCCTCGGAAGACTCCGTCCCACAGCACTGAACACCCGGGATGGCTGCCCTTCCCGTTACCTGTGGATCCTCCCTTCTCCCTCCCTCCCTCCCTCCCTCCCTGGATAGCCCAGCAGAAACCAGTCCGTTAGCCTCGGTCACGTGCCAGGTGACTGTCCGGGGACAGCGAATGCCCTTCGGGGCCTGGTTCCAAGGCCTCAGCGCCATACGGCCGTTCCAACCCCTTCTTTACTAACACCTGCTGACGGACTGCCTGGTGGCTGACAGTTTTATTTTGCACCTAGATGCGTAAGAAGGGTTGTGTTCGAGGAACGTTGGCTGCCAGCGCCTAGAGGAAGCCCTCGGTAGGGTCAGAGGCAGGGAAATAATCCCACTATGTAAGTGACTGCCCTCTTCTGGTAAAGAAATGCAGGTTTTGGTAATGTCCGTATTGGCTCCCGCTGGTCGTGGGCTCGCTCTCTCTCTCTCTCTCTCTCTCTCTCCCCCCCCCCCCCCCCCCCCCCCCGCCCTGTTTTTCGTTGTGGGGCAGAGCTCTCAGTGTTGCCTAAGAGTATCCCAACTTGCTCCTTTCCCAAATCCGGCAGTTTGAAGTTTGGATTCAGAATTAGGCTCCCGAGCAGTGGGGCTCCCTGATTCACCCAGCAGTTTGTGAGCAGGAGAAGGAGCATCCTTTGGCAACCTCGTGGTTTAACTGGGGGGAAAGGCTGGCTATTTCTTGCGGCTTTCATTTTTTCCTTCTTTGTCACCTGTGTCAGAACACATTGCTGTAATCTAGACGGGTTTTCTCAGGCTGGCCCTGGCAGAAGTAATTCCAAGTTCAAGGACAGCCTCTTCCTAAATAAGTAAGCACCTGCAAAGCCCCGTCTTCTGTCCTTTCCTCCTCCTCCTCCTCTCCCCCCAAACATCCCTCCAGGCTCTGCCACGTCCAGCGTTGCTGCTGCTGCTGCTGCTGCTTGCAGCCTCAGTCCACTCCTCTCTGCTCGAATTGCTACCCGGGTCATATCACAATGTTTCTTTTAGGAGGAGGCCAGTGCTGCTGATGGTTGCATATCTTCAGGCAAAGGCTCTGCCAGGAGAGAGGGGCAAAATAATCTCTAATTCTTTCATTTAATCCTCTTTTATTTGAGAGCCACCACTGAAAGTGATTGATCTTTCTCCCCCTCCCCCAGCTGCGCAATCAAGGAGAAGTAAGAGGAACAAGTGCGGCTAATGACGAATGAAGAAAAGCATCTGGTGTCACGATCCACCCTTGCGGTGTGAGTGGGTGCACAGTTCTCTACACATTTGTGCATGCATGCACACAGAAACATGTACACACACACACTGGGTGCACCCTCGTACTGAGCCGCTGCTCCAAGGCACCGGGATTTCCCCAAGAGGCCCTGCCTTTCCGCTGTATATCCAAAGCTAATTAAGCCCAACCAGTGTCAATTAATGGAAGAAGAGAATGAATTATATCAATTGGAACGTTTTGAAAGTACAGATGCCGGACCAATTTACTATATCTTTTATAATATACACGAGAGATTCTCCTTGCTAAGACTCAGTTATTCCTGTTTAGATTATTAGATGTGCATCAGCAATTTTCCAATTTGTTTGGTTCATTCATGATTTGGTATAGACATTCTGAATGTATTTAAAGATATTTATTTCTGAATTATCTCTTGAAATCGGATCATTTCTACTAGTAAGGATCAATTTCTTGCTATTAAGTTTTGTTTTTTTACAACAAAACATTTTCACCCATTTGCTGCGAAGAGATCTATTTTATTGGAGTTTTGTATATAAAGAGCTGAGGGTTTCTTCATTAGAATTGGCAAAATAAAATAAAAAGCTTGCCAGTAAAAGGGAACACAAAGGGGAATATGGATCTTTGTTTTTTTAGAAGTGTTGACGGACTCAAATCCGGCTGAAGGAATGACGTTTCATGACAGCCCCACAATGCTGTCTTCAGGAGGCTCCTGGGTCTCCCGCTGGGTCATCTAAGAAGCGGCATAGGCTCCGTTTTGCCTCAACTGTAGGAAAAGCTGGCATCTATCCAGTACCCTTTGGAAACTGATATCCTGGCTTGGGAAAACCCTTGACAGATTTCTTAAGAGAGGATCCCGGCCACAATGTACTGCAGGCCTAGTTGAGTGGGAGGGCTGTCGGTTTGGCTTGCCCCACGGGATTGACGGGCTCTGATGCCCCAAGGGCCAATGCAAGGGCTGTTTATCCGTCCCTTTTCTGGAAACGAGGCTGGTGTGTGCCTGAAGTTGGCGGTTCAGCGTCTAGCTCTGGCCACACAGGAAGGCTTGCATGTTCCCCCATGGGAGAATTGGCTTTTGTAGATACGTATTTGTAGAGAGCTTGGTCATTTAGGCTGCAGCTAATTCAAGGGCTTGCTGTCTTTAGTGCAGGAATCTGCTCCCATCCGTACCAAGGAGAGAGCACCAAATGGCAGGCTCTGTGCCTAGTTTGGGGCAGGAGTCGATGTGAACATGGAGAGGACGGTTTTAGTGAATGTAAAACGATTACTTCTGCAGTTTCCAGTTTTAACTGCTTTAAGACAATTTAAATAAATTTGCTTATAAAATATCCACAGCTGTTGCATTTGGATTCAGTTCAAGTGTTTGGGGGGGGGGGTGATATTGTGCACTGAGGCAAAGCTGGGGGTCAGGAACACACAAGAGATAGAAAATCTGCCTTTTTTCTAGAAAATCTGCCTCTCGCCCCCTCCCCCCAATATGGCTAAAAAGCTACAACTCCCCAGGAGAGAGGGGTGTTTTCAGCCAGAAGCTGCAGTCCAGTTGTGGTTTCCACAAGCGACTGGTTTATGGATTCCAAGATCTTTTTTCTCCCCCTTCTAAATTCTTATCTGGTAGTTTTATTCTGCCATTCACCCAATATTTTTGAAAGTTTGTTTTTAAAAGTTGCCTCATATTCAGATTTGTGTCACAGTGCAAAGCGTTCTCTCATCTGGTTGTTTGAGCCTAGAAAAAAGGGGAGCAACTTTCTGGCAGAATTTGTGGCTGGAAGGGTTAGCGTTCTGTCCTCAGTGACCTTCGTCCCAAGACTCCTGCATTCCCACGATGCAAGGATATTGTCCTCTCTGATAAAAAGTTAAGAACACCCCCCCCCCCCAATTGCAATATTTGGCAAGCTATAGGTCATGAAACTATATTTGTTCATTCCCCAAAATTTATAACTTTCCTCATTCCCAAGTCTTCAGAATAGACCCTTTGCTGATGTGTTGCTGCTTTAGCAAAAGACAACCAGCCATCTGGCCCATTTTTGGAGCTGCTTCCATGCAATTCATTATTTAATTTTTTCTCTGATGAAAGCGTGCAACCCTTTAAAAGTTATTTAAATTGAAAAAAGCATGTGCAGTAAAAATTCTCTAAAATGCTATCTGTTTAAAGCCACAGGGCAATATTAAAATTCTGTAACTCAGGACACTAATTATGAAAAAGAACAACAGATTTAATCAAAATCAGGAATGAACGGATACATCAGCTGACACCAAGAAGTTGAAGGGCTCAGCAATGAAAGGCGAAGAAAGGCCACAGCTGCTCTTCTTGCTGGTCGGGATGGTTTCTTCGGTCATCCTTCAAATCCAGCACACACACACACACAGATCTCACACGTGGGGACTCCGGGGACTGGCCACATCTTAAGCTACACAGGCCTCTTCTCTGTTTCTCGCTCAGGGTGGCTTAGATGATTAAAATCTAAAAAGGACAGGCGAAGGGTAAAATTAAAATCATGGATGAGCATTGTCTTGAAACAGGATACCCCAGGAGAGTATCTAGCATTTGCTTTCCTTGTATTTTTGCAAAAGTATCAGCTTGCGGTGCTTTCTTGCCAAATGGTGCCTCTTGAACTGCTCTACCAACGTGTCTCACCTCTTGGTTGTGATGGCAGATGCAGCACCGACTCTGCAGCAGCGGCAAGGCCACAGGGATGTACAGCTTGGTGCCAGCCTGCAACCTCAGGTGGTCAACAGAGTCCAGTTTTGAAGGAAGATGTGACCCTCCCACAAACCCCCAGGGATCAAGAGGCCCTGGAATGTAGGCCTTTAAATTCAAGGGTCCCTCTCCTGCAGTTTACCCAGGACAAATATGACTGCCCTGAAATGTCCCAGCTTTTCCCCTTTCTAAAATGTTAAACGCTGTACATCTCCCGGTCGAGCAGGTTAGGTAATGGCAATTATTAGGTGGCTACATGAAATTTTACAGATGCTTTTTATGAACGTTCAGCTGCCTACTGCTTAAACCTAGAAATATATTCATTTTTAATCAGGGGAATTAGCCCCGCAGCCTTTTCAAGAAAGAGAAAAGTCAATAACTTGGTAAAACTGCCGTGTTTAACGAATCTACTGATGGAGTAATAACACCAACGTTGGCCGAAGGGTAGCAGTTTATTGCTCCTGGGCTTCTGCATCCTTTAATCGGAGTACTGAATTTCTTGTTCCCAGTTTTTGTACGGAAACATCCAAATGGGAGCGAGGGCCCTTCGTTCTGCCATTCGATTAAAGAGGAGCGCGAGAGCCTGTGGATTCCGGGGTGCCTCCAAAGTGCCCTTCCCGGCCCAGGCCGTTTGAAGCGGAGACGCAGACATCTCCCTCTCGCGGCCAGCAGGTGGCGGTGGAGGACGCAGGAACTCCCCAGCCCCGCAGTGCCTGGCCCTGGGGTTTCGCTTCCTTGCAGCTGAGGCGCAGCCCTCGCCTCTTCCGCGCCCTTCCTTAATCCAACGCAGCTGCCGAAAATGAAATGGGGTGAAAATACAGACGTATGTTTATAAAATGGGAAGCCGTTCAATTGTGCATAATTCCCTTCTCGCATCTTTGCAAAGAGACCGAGGGTATGTGATGGTTTCCTTCCCACCCCTTTTCCGGGGCTGAAAAAGCAGCCGGAATATCGGGAAATCTCTGCTGCCTTTCCTGTGGGTTGAAATCGGCATCAGGGGCTGCATCTGAGGCGAAATGTTGGGATTCCCAAGTGGCTAAAAAAGACACATTCGAGCTCAGGGCTTCTCCTGCAAGCAAGGCCGCGGGCTCCCTCCTGGTGGCCTCCCACTTGCTTTCATGAACCCTTTGGAGAAGAAGTCAAGAACAAGAGGCTTTCCCGGGTTTATGATCAGCCTAAGGACCAATCTTTAAATCTGTGAGCATGAGGAGGGGGGGGGGGGTCAATCACTGGAAAGTTCAACGAATGAGGCCAAGAACCATCTAGGCAGAAAAGTGACCAAAGGGAAGATACCAAAGGCTCTGTGGCAGGCCAGATAGCTCTTGGATTCTTTAGTTCACGAGTCCACAGTCATCAAATCATTTTGCACTTGTTGTTACTCACACTCCGGTGATGCCTGCAGGGGGCAAAACCTTGTTTACAACCAGCAACAAGGAGTCCGTATTTGCTGAAATAACATTTCCCAACATCCCTGCCGGCTGTGCTTTCTGGGACCACTGGGATTTGTAGTTCAGGATCTGGAGAATCCCGACCCCTATTTCTGTTTAAAAGCCTACTCAGAGCATGTAACACCCACCACCTTGGCAACTCTTAATTAAGAAGGACCACCTGCATTGGCACCTCCTCCTGGAAGGGGGGAGGGGGAGAGACACAAAGCATTTCCGGTAATTCAATAGCTTGGATTCCACATCTGCCTCTGTGCAAAGAAGATTAGGAAAGAGACAGTAGGCGCGCTGGTGTGCTTATGCACGGCCCTCTAAGACCTCTTAGGAATGGGGTAAAGCCGATAGTAGGCAGTCTAAGGTTAACGTTTTGGGGGTTGGAATGAAACCACAGTCAGGTAGTGTATTCCAGGCATTGACAACACCGTTGCAATCGAGTTTTACCATACGGTTTACCGTATGTTTGTATGTATTGTGAGCTCCTGTGTTGTTGTGGTTGAAGCGGAAGTCTTCATTGACAGGTAGGACATTGTAGTGGATAATTTTATGTATTATGTGTAGGTTGATCAAAGACGGCGAAGTTCGAAATTGTATAAGGCCAAAATTTCAGGTCTGGTGGCATAAGGGATTCTGTTGCAAGCAGAGGAGCAGAGGCAGGGGTGAAATGCTAACAGTTTGGGCTGGTTCGTAAAACCAGTAGTAAAAAATACTAAAAAAAGTTTTTTTTAAAATTATGCCGATTGCACAGCCAAAATCGGGGGAGGGGGGGGGCTCGCTTTTTGCTCCCAACAGGCTCCCCTGAGGCCTGCTAGGCCAAAAACAGGGTGGTGGTAGGTGTCCCTTTTTGCTCCCAGCAGGCTTCCTTTCCCAGAAAGAAAAAGAAAGAGAGGGAGGGAGGGAGGGAGGGAAAAAGGAGAGGAAGGAAGGGCTACAAACTTGGCAGTAGATGCAGCTTCAGAGGATAATCCAGGGGTGGGAGGGACCTGGAGATCATCTAGTCCAACCCTGCTCCAGCAGGACATTATTAAAAGTGAGTTTTGGTCTTTTGATCCCCCAGTTACATGACTACATAGTTACACGACCCCACCAAGCCACACCCCACCAAGCCACGCCCACAGAACTGGTAGTAAAAAAAAAAAAAAGATTTCCCCACTGAGTGGAGGACTCTTCTGGTGAAATATCTCTGGACTCGTTCGATCGTATTTCTGTCTGATAAGCAGTGTGGGTTCCAGACAGATGAGCTGTTTGCAAGAATTTGTCTAGCAAAACTTTTGCATGCCCTAGTTTGCAGTTCAATGTTACCGGAGAAGAAGCTACGCAAGATTAGGTTAACACTTGTGAAAAAAATATTGGGGGAAAAAATAAAAGATTGGCTGGAGGAGATTACCACACACCAAATTGAACTAACACCAGAATTATTTCTGTTAGGAATTATAAAAGGAAATTATGAAAAAAATATTAGATACTTGATTCTACACACAATCACAGCAGCAAAAATTACATTCACACAAAACTGGAAAAATAATTACACACCAAGAGAAGAAAATGTAATTTTAAAAAATTGGAATGTTCAGAGATGGACAGGCTCACGAAAGAATTAAAAGAGAAAGGAGAATCTGAATATTGCTCCGTATGGGATTTATGGTATAATTCGCTAGTGGAAAGGGGGGGGGGAGCAGAAAAGCAAAAAAGAAAGGAAGAAAGATCAACAAATTAATAAACAATTACAAAACTGGAAAATGATTAAAAGCTATAAATATGAAATAGACTGTAGCAAATAAATAATAGGAAATGGATACAAAACAACTCAAATGTAATAAAGGTTGTTATACATAGAATATATAGAATGTTATATATAGAAGAAACAAGAAGTATGAAATAATATAAATGCACATATATAAAGTTATAGTTATAGAAGACTTATTTCTACAGATAAAAGAATCACAACAGATATGTAAAAGAAGTGTAATGTGTTGAAAAGATGTGAAGTTTGTATAAACAAAATAAAAAGTTTTTTTTTTAAGATTAGGTTAACAATTCTTAATGCCTTTTTGGCAATGCTGTTACAGTGAGCTCTGGCACTTACATCATTTGAGATGAATACTCCAAGGTTCTTGACAGTGTTGTGATTCTTTTATTATTATGATTGTTATTGTTGTTGTTGTTATTCTCAACAACAGAATTGTATCA